TTTATTTTAATTTTGTGGTTTAAATCTGTGTAGTAATGATGGTGCTGAATTTGGAGGTTCCATTTACCAGAAGGTGAGCGATAACCTGGACACTGCTGTAAATCTTGCCTGGACTGCAGGTAATAACAGTACTCGCTTTGGCATTGCTGCAAAATACCAACTTGACTCCACTGCTTCCATTTCTGTAAGTACGGTTTTCTTTATTCTGTTCTATTCCTACATGTTTGTCTTTTTGGCCTTGTTACTTATTTCTAAAAATGTGTTTCAGGCAAAAGTCAATAACTCCAGCCTAATTGGAATAAGTTACAGCCAGATTCTTAGGCCAGGTATGTTTCTGTTTATTTTGTTCCCTATGCTTCATTACTCTGGTAGTTAATTCAAATATAGACTGATTGATGTAGAATTCCTTTTTGAAGTTTCATGCAATCCTCCAGTTTCTACTCAACTCAGATTAAAGGCTCTTTTTAGATTGTGGTACTATGCTTGCCAGTTTATTTCTTATTCCATTGACTCTATTGATTAGACATTAGGCAGAAGCAGCTGGGAAATCTGACTCCTTACAAGGCTTATGTAAAAGTGAGTGTTTCTAGTTTATATGGAATTAAGTTTCACAATCTAAACACTTGAGTTCGTGTGATGGCAGTAAAATTGTTGCCTACAGCTTTATTGTATGTGCAATTTCCCTGAATCCACTAAGGTTGTTTAACATTAGAATGCTGCTTTTTCAGAAATATGGTTTCTAAATATTATAGATATTTAAAACTGAATAGGAAAGATTACCACAACTACTAAACAGCAGCTGTATTTGGATGGGATTAAAGGAGACCACTAAACAGCAATTGACTCATCACCCCAGCTGGTGTACAAGGACAAATTTCTTCACTAGACCTGTGAATTCTCTACCACAGAAAGCTGTTGTGGCCAGTTTGTTAGATATATTCAAGAAGAAGTTGGACATGACCCTGGCTAAAGGGATCATGGAGTATGGAAAGAAAAAAGGAGTGAGATGCTGAAATTGCATGATCAGCCATGATCATACTGAATGATGGTGCAGGCTGGAAGGACTGCACTTATTTCCCATGTTTCTATGTCCTTAAGTGCTCTGCCATGGACCTGATGGCCAGGCACGAGTCCCTGTCACTATGCTGCTGGTATAAAAGTATAAACAAATTGGTCGCTGCCTCATTCTAGATCTCCCCTTCAAGTGGAGCAAAGACTGGAGAAGGGTTCAAATCAGATTCCTTTGCAAGTAACTTACTAGTCTGATCAAAGTCGAACTGCTTTCTAATTTTTGTATCAATTATCATTTTTAAAAGACACTTTAAAGGTCCTGTTCTGAATCTCATCAATTTTGCTCTAGTTCCTGCTTTAAAATTCTACTGTGGTTCTTGCTAAAATTGAATGTTAAGACATAAGAAATTTAGTATGGCATTTGGGTTTTGTAACCATATGACTTTTCCTCTGCAGGTATAAAACTCACTCTGTGTTCCCTAATTGATGGAAAGAGCATCAATTCTGGTGGTCACAAACTTGGTTTGGGTCTTGAATTGGAAGCTTAAGATGTGCACCTTTTTATCTTCAATGACAAAGGGATTTCGGAAGAAAGCAGCATTTGGCCATTACGTGTAATTCCAACTTGACAGATGGGCTTTTCTGAAAAGGAAGTTTCAAATCAACCACGTACCTGTATTTTTAGTACTTTAATTGTTTTTTGAGTGAAGTTGGTTATCTAGAAGGTGATGCAGAAGTCATATGTCGCTCATTTATACATAATTTAAAAATGTATTTAACTGTTAATACAACAGTCCCAATAATAATGGGGTAGGCCTTTACAAAACTCAAGTCGTGACTGCATGTTTCCTGGTTTAATGTCTATTTTGAGACGTTGTGCTGTGTCAGTTCACCAAAAGTCTGGATAAATTGAAATTATCCAAGTTGCAATTAAATTTTATGGAATCTGTGTATAGCAAAAAAAAAAACAACTATTTTCGTTATCCCAAACCCATACAATTGATGCTGAATAAAAATCTCAAATACAGTGTGTTGTTTATCCCTTTCCTCTTTGTGACATTTTGAATTTGGTATGGTCATGCATGCTTCTTCCAGGAAGGAGCAATGGATTAGCTGATGATCTTTATGGTGGCTGTAAAAAAATGACCATCTTTTGTGGACTTGTTTTATATTTCCTTTGCTTTTGCTTAGCTGAGTGCATGCCACACTTACACACAGACTGCTATGCATTGAAGTGCAGCATTGTGTTGTCTAGGGGATTGGTGCAAGATTTTATTCTGTCTCTATAGAATGGACACCACAAATGCATGAGCTGACTCTGGTAGCAATACATTGCTTTTATGTAGAAAACTGTTCCCAGGTGCTTCGTGATTTTCAGGAATTGAACCATGTTGAGATATAACTAGGAACCTGTAGGAGAGGTTTTTAAGAGACTTAGAACCTTTCCAGCCCAAAAGGTATCCAGCTTTATGTGGTAGGGCTGACTACTGAAGGCTGTTTCACCAGTAGTGTGGAGAGGTACCCTTAGGCTAGAGTCAGAAAACTGAAGTGATAAAATGCAGAACCATTTTTTTTAAACTTGCATAATTTCTGTGTCTTCTAATTTGCACTAGCTTGAAGTTCGGTAAAACATCTAGGAGGAAGAGAAACTGGCCAAATTAATTTTAGTATTCTGATGCTAGACATTTTACTTTGGGAGTTTTAACTGGGTGCAAAATTTAATGAAGATTCACCTGAATTTTAACACTTCACTAAATCAAGGAAATTAGGTTATCTTCATAATTACATAATTTTAAATTATGTAATTGACATTGAGTCTTGCGATAATTCATTGACTGGTATACTTAGGTGGATGAATTTTACAAAAAGGTTAGGTTTTAAAAAAAAAAAAAAAAAAATCAGTGGGTTCAAGGTTCTAGATCAGTGGGATAAGGTTCTACACCAGTGAATAATGGGTAAGGTGAGTAGTCATGAAAGAAGACAAATACCAGATGGAAGCTATTGCTTCTTGCCTAGTGTCGATTTTTGCTTTTAATCCTAATTCAACATTTGTTCCATTTATGATAGTTTGAGGGATGTAGATTACTTATTTTGAAACAGCAGTAGGTGATAGCTGTCATAATGACATTGAGTTCAGGTGCTCAATTTTACAACTGCTGTAATGCACTAATTACTTTAAAGGTTGTCGTGTAGCTATACCCTTGTATATCGTAAATACACTTGCAAGTAACTTAGTGGTAATAAATGAGTTGGTGACTGTTCTCAAAGCTGAAAAATAATTGAGTTTGTAGTTATTTCCTATTGAATAGGATGCCTTGCTAGTGTGATAGTGTTCAGTGACAAACCAACCAAAGTAACAGCATCTGTTTCATTCTATCATGTGATATAATTAAATTTTGTTCTTGGGCTAATTCCTGATAGTCATACAATTCATATGCTCCTTCAGTTTCCTTTCTTCTTCATACATGTAGGCAGTCACTCTGATCCTAGCATTTTGGTATATATAAGTGGTCCTTTGTCTTATTTTTTTAAATTGTGCACTATGGTGTCTCCTGTACAAACTTGTTCCTTTTGTCTTTCCCATCTCATCTTGGATTCCAAGCTGCAGGCTGAAATGGATGCATCCTTTTGTGTAAAGCAACCTTTGCTCCCTGGAATTATTTTTAAATGGTTCCCTGGCAGTTTGAATTTGTAAAAAATTTTACTTTTTTTTTTGGTATTCTGAAGTTATAATTTGGCTGCATTTTGGTCATGACTAGTGCTAGACAGAAACTTCTAAAAGAATTGTGCTTGCCTTGATTCACTTGCAGCAGAGAATGGAAATCCTGTTATCAGGAGTTAAAATTTTGATGCTGATAAATGGCCATAACATCACAGATTTAATTGTTCCATCCCAATCTCTGAATTGAAATCTAATAATAAAATCAGAAAGGATAAGTAACAGTTTAAATTAAATTTACTTGCACTTGTTGATTTGTGGTGTTATATTTTCATTGAAAAATGTTTAATCCCCACAATGGTTATGGATGTGGAATTGGCAAGATGGTGCAGGGTAGCAGCTATTTCCAAACTGTGCATTAAGCTGTGATTCTCAAGAGTATTTTGAAAACTTTTAATGGAATGTGTGACAGCAAGGTGGAGCAATAGTGAGGAAGAATCTAAACTTGTCTTCCCATTTCAGCGTGGACTATTTTAATGATGGATATTTCTAATTATGTTACTGCGTTGTGCTTCCAGAATATTTCTTGTTTTCATATGTTTAAACCCCTTTTATGAATTACCTGATCTTCCTACTGCTAAAGTGACTCCTATTGAGAGGTCTTAAAGTTAAATTTATTCTCACTTGGAAGTACTCTTAAATGATGAGAAATAAACCTAGCCCTAGTCTTGTAGATGGGAGTTTTTCATGTGAAGTGCCATTTCAAAAGTTTGAAGCTGTTGAATCACTGTACCCCACAGGAGCAGCCTAGTAAAGCATCACTGGGTGGTATGGTATCTGCAGGAATCCACAGACTTGCTTGATTTAAACTAGCTGAAAATGATAAAATGTAATAAGCCTGAAGTATGCATATAATGCTGTGTGCTTAATGTGCAAAATAACATGGTTTTGGATTTCTGTGGAACAAACATGCCAATAAAATTATGAAATTAACTGCACTCCACTGCATCTTGTCAAGTGTATTAGATAGCATAACTAGGCATTTATTCCGGTAAGATAAATGCACTTAAATGAATGCAAGTTTAAGAAGGCATTTTTAGAAAAAAGAACTTTGAACACCCTTTGCATGCCTCTATCTAACTGAATTTTAAATGCGCACACAATAAACACATGCACAGTTAACATTTTCATAAAACTAATTACCCCTGCTTTTGCTTTGAATAATGTCCACCTCAGCAAAATTTAATGTTGCCTGGGCAAGTTTCTGTTCTTCAAGCAGTAGTGTGAAGTCTGAGACCTGAGGATTTTGATTTAATGTGTCACCTGAAAGGTCAGGATTTTCCGTATTTTCTCTTGAAGTTCACACTTTCAGGAATGATAGAAGTCCAGTTTTTCTGTGAATATTCAGTGCTGTTATTACAAGTGAAAAACAATAAATCCTAAACTGATCTCCATGTTTGGGAATAACAGCAAGACTATTAACTATGGTCAGATCAGGTAAAGTGCTGCTGAAAGTCAGTGTAATTGATTCGCCAAATGGTGGATCTTGGAAATTCAGTAGATACCATTTGAGAGCTGCTGTGCGCTCATTCTTCATGTTGCTGCTCTCTACTTAACCTTCAGCTGATAAGTTAGTGCTCCTCTTGAATGTCCTACACAAGTATTGCAGTTGGCAGCACTTGGTAAGTGAGATCTTAAATGTCACCAAACTGGTCAACACTACTGATTACACTATTGAAATGTCAAAGGAGCTATCTGCCTGTGACATGATGGAACCAACAAAAGAGAATGTGGTGTTGATGTCTTCAATCTACCCTAACATGCATCTGTCTGTGATAGCATTGTTGGCTGTGACTACTGCAGTCTTTGTGGATGCAGCCTTGTCTTCACATGAGGATGCTATGCTTCAAAACGGTAGATTTGTGGTAGATCTAGCAGGTGATCACTGGGTATGCATAGGGTCCTCTTGATCATTGACAATGGCATCATTATTCTGCTGCTAGTTTAACATGATCAGCATATACCTCACTATCATTGCTGTCAAACTAGTTGACTAACCCTGATGCACCTAACCATCTGCCCTTGACATTTAATTGCTTTATCACTGAATTTCCTGCTCTCAATGTCCTGGCTTTTACCACTGACCAAAAACTTAACTGCCATACAAATGGCTATGTGAGCAGGCTAATGGCTGAGAATTCTGCAGGAAGCCATTTGACTTTTTCCCCCTGGCCTGTCCACTTCCTAATAGTACTAGTGCTGTGCCTCAACCAGATGGATGGCAGTGGTTCAAAGGGGCAGCTCACAACCACCATTAATTAGAGGGACTGGCAACAAATTCCATGAACAACTAAAAGGCAAATAAATACTACTTAGGGGTGTTGGGGAGAAACAGCAATAAAGCTAGCTCCCTCAGCAGTTTGGGATTGATTGTCAATCTATTTAAATAAGATATTTAGTGTCTGCCTTGTTTACTTTTGAGGCTTGTGGAAGTGTTGCTGCATTTCAGTCCCAAACTAGATGCTGCAACCCACTTCAGTTAAAGAACTCCCTTGCCTACACAAATCACCGAATTTATGTTCTGGCTAAATCTAGGATGCGCAGGCACTGAAAACAATCTATGCAGTCATATGTTAGATTTTCCAGATGCAAAAAATGATTAGCCATAGTTATATTTATACACTTATTTCACCAATTATGTAAACTTCTGTCCTACAAGAATATGTACTTCTGTTGCACCCCTATATTAATAGAAAGTGATTCAAGGTCAGAGGGGAAATTGAACTAAATGGGAGGCACAGACTGATCGGTGTTGGGGTGGAACAAGATGAAAGCAATCTTGAAGAGGGACAGATAAGTCCTCCCAAATAAGTTTTGTATTGTGTGAGAGAACAATTGTTAATGGATCAGGGAATGAGACTTTGCACCAGGATATACAGCTGGATGGATTTCAGGAGATGGCATAGATGAGCCATGAAGCTATTTGAAGTGAATGAAATTACTGAAGCAAGTGAAACAAGTGTCAGTGGAAGTCCATTGGGCTTCGTATGTGTGAGAATGCTTGTCAAAGCATTCTGAATAATTGTAACTTGTGACGGTTGTGAGCAGGGTATTGCCTCAAGGAAATAAACAGTGTTATGGACAAGATTGCCCCAAAATTATTGTAAGGAGATAACCTAGACCCTAACTTTTACCTTTATTTAAAGGCAAGTGTAATGTGGTGTGTTCCAGATGTGATTTGATTGGTCCACCGTTAGGTTTTAATCGAAACACACTTTATTCTTATGCATTTTTTTTGTATTTTAACTGTGTTATAACTCCAATTCTTTTGAAATACTTAACAAGATAATGTATTATGGAACCACTACTTATCAACTGTTTCAGTATGGGCTGCATCCCACAAACACACCCTTTGGCAAAAATACAATTCAGTAAAGCAGTTCTGGTTCTCGCATGTAGTCTGTCTCTAGTCCAGAACAAAGAAACAATCTGTCCCTTTTGATTTCTTAGAGGAAGCCTTGCTGACTAAGACTTAATTCTAGCTGAGCTTAGCTCAGCAGCCAGCAGCCGACTAACTGAAAGCAAAACTAAAAGCCTTCCTGGGTCTGTGTGAGCCCTGACCCTGCCCATTCATAATTCTTTAAAAGCTGTTTACCAACTGCCTGTTTGAAGGAGATATTCTGGCAGTACTGTGACAACCCCTTCTGCAAGACAAACAGCACAGAACACATCTCTTAAACACACTGTAGCGTCAGAACAGATGAACCAAGGTTTTGGAATCAGTGAGGCAAAAATATGGGCAATGTTATCTGATATGAATAGATTATAATCAGTCTGATATGGGAAAGGAAGCAGGGCATGTGTTTGAAAACACTTACTGTTATCTGTCAAAGGTGGCAGCAGGGAAAATTGATAGAAACATAGCTGGAAGATAAGAGTGGTAGGAGTCACGGGAATGCTTTCATTGTTCAGGGTCTCCAGAGGGTATGTAACCAGGCAGCTGTGAAATTTAGCAATGGCCTTGTAATTGATATAGGAGGTCAGTAGGTAGAACTGGTTGGTGTTTTGGAGGCAGGCATTACTTTATTAGAGGACAAAGAAGTGTCAATAGTGGAGGAATCCAAGAGGCTTTTAGATGCGATGAACCATATTTTCAGCGAAACAAAGTCCTGCTTGGGAACTTGATCGGTATAATCTCAATACCGTTAATGAACAGGAAGCCATGTTATAGAGAAGTGAATAGGAAGGGAAGGTTTGGAGTGAGAGTGCAATTGTGATACAGGTGAGAAAATAAGCACTGGGAATTGGACAATAATTGAAAATGTATGAGACCAAGAAAGCAGAAGTAGAATAATTGCATCCTTTGCATGAAATGCACTCATGCTTATGTATATTTTGGCTGTCCTGTGCAATTTGTTCTTTTGTCCATCTTAGGGAGCCCACTGTGCTCTTGTTGAAGGGTCAGGCCTAGTCAATGAATCTCAGACTACCCATAGGTATGATAATCCTGAAGGTAGAGATGATGCTGAGGGAGCTGCTGAAGGCTTCTTAGATGGTAAATATCTATGAGATTCAGAGTACTGTGGTGCAGTACAATTAGTAGTGGCTGCTGCAAGCTTGACTTTGACAGGGAGCACTGTCAATTGAGGTTGTTGGCTGGCATTGTGGAAATATTTCTGCCACAATCTCTCGAGTCTGAGGTTCAAATGCCTTCAGTTACAATGGGTCTGGGGAGCTGCAGTTATTACCTCTACACAAAGCAGTCAAATTAATCTTGGATTTTTCTAGCAAAGAGCTGGCACAGACACGCTCTTTACCCAAATGAGCTGTTCTGTGTTGCAGGTCTGTCTGGTTCTCTGATCTATAAATATGTGCATAATAAAATCTCTCTAGAAATGTACCAGTCGATTAAAAGCTGTATTACTGGACATTTGTTTTTTACATTTAGTGCAACAATGGCTTTTCTTGCAGTCAATTGATTTAATTTTAAGAAGGAAATCATTCTTATATGAATTGGTTATTTCTATATTTTAACATCCATGAGATCCTCCATTAGACAGCGAGAATTCCAGTGCTCACTGTCACTTCAGATCAGTCCTTGTGGGTGAGTTACAGTAGTTCTATGTGAGAATTGCCTTTCCAGCAGGGACATTAAAGAAAGTCTCAAGGTTCAGTTACGTTATAAGTTAACGCAATTTACTGTTTAACGTAAAACATCACGTATCCACATGATTGGATTTCCGACTGGAAAGCAATGAATATGTGTTTTCAACAACTGAAAACAATAGGCATTTTGTACAGTCACTGTTCAAATGGTAGGAATCTGCAAAGGACCAACTAAATATCAATAAGCTAAAAAAAATGAATAGTGAATAAATTAAAACCAACTCTGCAGAACTTGAGCACAAAAGTCTTGGCTGATTCTGAGGGTATGCTGCACTATTGGAGGCACCAATCATCTATCTGATGAGAAGTTAAACCAAGGCTCTGTTTGTCAGCTTGGGTGGATATAAAAATAATCCTAAAGCACTATTGTGAAGAACAGGGGAGTTATCACACAATCAATATCACAAGAAAAGATTCACTGCAACATTGCTTTTTGTGGGAGCTTGCTGACTCAAAATTGGCTGCCAACTTTCCGATGTTAAAACGGCGATTACATTTCAAAAGACTGAAATGCTTTGAAACATCATGAAATGTGTCTCACATATAAATAAAGTATATAAATGCAAGTTTTTTTTCACTAGTTCATTAATGAACCTTGAATACAAATTAAGAGCCAAAATAGGCCCTTCGTCCCTTCAAGTCTGCTCCACCTTTCAGTAAGATCATAGCTGATCTCTTTGTGTTCCAAATTTCACATTCTCACCTATCCCCAATTATATTTGATTCCCCTGCCTGACTGGAGTCTACCTCTCTCAGCCTTAAAATAATCAATGATTCCACCTCCGCTGCCTTCTGAGGTAGAGTTTCAAAGTCGTACAGCCCTCTAAGAGAA